GAGTCAGCAGATGGAAAATCTCTTTCTTTCTCTTTCCCTCTCTCTGTAACTCTTCCAAATAAAATTATTTTATTTATTTATTTTTTTAAGATTTATTTATTTGTTTGAAAGTCAGAGTTACACAGAGAGAGAAGGAGAGGCAGAGAGAGAGAGAGAGAGAGAGAGAGAAAGAAAGTCTTCCATCTGCTGGTTCACTTCTCAATTGTCCACAACGGCCGGAGCTGTGTCAATCCTAAGCCAGGAGCCAAGAGTTCCTACGTGGGTGCAGGGGCCCAAGGACGTGGGCCATCTTCTACTGCTTTCCCAGGCCATAGCAGAGAGCGAGATCAAAAGTGGAGCAGCCGGGTCTCGAACTGGCCCCCATATGGGATGCCGGCACTGCAGGCGGCACCTTTTACCCACTATACCACAGTGCCGGCCCCACGTCTTTTATTTTTAAAGTATGAATAAAAAAACATTGATCCTTCCCTGAATAACACCCTTGAGCAATACTGATTTTGTTAGTACCTTGAAAGGTAGCAGAGTTGTCATCTTTTATGGGATTTAGGAGTAATTGGAAAATGAAATTACACATAATATTCATGGATCTAAATAATTGAGGATAAAGGATTTAGGATTCATTTACATCTTAAATATGGAGATAGCAATGACTACAGTAGCACACATGTGCTTCAGTTGCCATGATTTCCAAATTGGGATTCTGGAAGAGAATTAAGCTCCAGGGCAACCATTCTGGGAAATGACTGAATTTCTCTTGTATGCATCCAGAATATGTCTCACTATGTATCATATTTGAAATAACTGATAATATAGTCACCCATGCCATCTTCCTTAGGGCTTAATTCTCATATGGGACTTTAGTTGAGAGTTGATATTCTTCCCTTCTATCCTGGCTGTTAGATGCAGCATTGATATTATAAAATTCATTAATTTATCCACAAGCTATTTACTGCAGCCTGCCAGGCCCTGTGCTGGGCTCTGAAGATATAATGGTGAGCAAAAGTCAACATAACCCTTGTTGTCACATAGATTATTATCTAATGGGAGAGACAGTCAACAATCAAATGATCTCCTTAGGAAATTTATCATTAGAATCTGAGAGAAATGCTCTAAAGGAAAAGATGGGCTTCTGTAAGTGCTGTGTCAAAGAACTTGACTTTAACTGGGAAATTTGGCTAAGAATAGTGACTGGGTTATAGAGATCTGTAGGCTGAGGAACATGGGACTTTGGAAGTATTGTTGACAGTTTCAGCTATTATCATAAATGTATCAACTTTCAGTGACTGTTTTGTTTTACCAGTACCAATCCACATCGCATGGTTTACACTAGAAAAGCTTAAAGTACATTTGTTAACTGATGATATTAATTGTGCCTTTTATCTCATATACACTAATTGTTAGTGTGAACATAAGTGCACTTAAGCTTTTTGCTGAGAGGGACAATATTTTCTTTATCTTTGAAAAAGTTCATGGTGCAATGACTAATTTGTTTCATGCATTTTGCTCTGGAGCAGAAAATAGTAACCCACTTTCATTATTCTTGATTTTGCTACTGACCTGGGATAAATGACTTAACATGCATGGCAATTATAGAGGATACACGTACTATAAATTCCTAAGATTTGTAGTCTTGATCATTCATGGCAATTATAAAATATCAAACTGGGGCCAGTGCTGTGGTGTAGCAGGTAAAGCCTCTGCCTCCAGTTCTGGCATCCCAAGTGGGCACCAGTTCGAGTCTTGGCTGCTCCACTTCTGATCCAGCTCTCTGCTATGGCCTTGGAAAGCAGAGGAAGATGGCACAGGTCCTTGGTCTCCTGCACTCATGTGGGAGACCCGGAAGAAGCTCCTGGCTCCTGTCCTTGGATTGGCCCAGCTCCAGTTGTTGCAGCCATTTGGAGAGTGAACCAGCAGATGGAAGACCTTTCTCTCACTCTCTGCCTCTGCCTTTCTGTAACTCTGCCTTTCAAATAAATAATTTTAAAAAATCAATCCAAAATGTTTTTACATAATTAAGAATCATTGATATGTGCATAGGAATAGAAAATGAATTTAATATGGGCATAAACAAAAAAGAATTAGCAAGGTATCTTTTATCACAATTTTCTGGGACCTGATCAATGTTTAACTAATATTTATTTAATAATGAATAGGGGCTGGTGCTGTGGCACAGTGGGTTAACGCCCTGGCCTGAGGCACTGGCATCCCATATTGGCACCAGTTCGAGACCTGGCTGCTCCTTTTCTGATCCAGCTCTCTGCTGTGGTCTGGGATAGCAGTAGAAGATGGCTCAAGTCTTTGGGCCCCTGCACCCACGTGGGAGACCCGGAGGAAGCTCCTGGCTCCTGGCTTTGGATCGGCACAGCTCTGGCCATTGAGGCCAATCGGGGAGTGAACCAGTGAATGGAAGACCTCTCTCTCTGCCTCTCCTTCTCTCTGTGTAACTCTAACTTTCAAATAAATAAATAAATTTTAAAAAATAATGAATACACAGATTAAGCCAATAATAGATTGCCTACATCGTTTTTCTAGTTATGTCAATATTAACCAAAAATTATTTAAAACAATTTGCCTGAAGTAGGTATAGTTATTAAGTGCTGAAATGTTAATGGATATTTTACTTGATTAATATTTATTTCTACAAGAGCAATAATTTTTTTCCCTGATTTACTTCATCCCTTAGGCTTATAAAATCTCTTTAGTTTTCTTATTGCCCTGTTTTAAATCCATATATAAAAAACATACATGTTTTTAAGACTTAAGACTCAGTTGACTCTGGAGTGATCATCCAAATACTCAGTTGTCAGAAGAATAACTGTCATGGCTCAGAAAATATTCTTGGTTAGTATTTATTGAATACATGCTCTATGCCAGGCACTGTGCTAAGTGCTTTAGATACATGTGCTCATTTATTCTTAGGGAACGAAGCACGGTAATCTTTTCAGAGATGAAGAAACTAAGGCTCTGCTGGATAAAGTGATTTATTTTTTATGGGGGCTTGGAAGTGGAGAAAAGGAATGATTGCTGCTGTGCTAGAGCTTTGGGGAATCATCCACTTCCTTCCCCTCACCCATAGGGCAGCCTGACTTTAGAGAGAGGTTAGGGGAAGGATTGTTTATAAAAACAATACTTCCCTTTCTCTCTCTCTCCCCCTCCCTCTTTTCCTTTATGTTATATATATCAGTGATTTATCTAAGCAGCTCTCTTTGTAAATCCACAGTCCACAGGATATACATTTGAGTGTGTTTTTTATCCTGATAAAACCCTCAAAACTAGTAATCCTTACTTTGTACCAATCCTGTTTTTAAAGTGGTTTTTATGTACTAGTCTTTGAAATTCTTGCAATGAACCAAATGAAATACTTCTTAAATTATCATCATCCTTCTTAGGATGAGATGGTAGATGGTAGACTGTGGTGCAGAAATGTTAAAGTAATTTTTCCAAAGTTACACTTGGGATTGAAATTTCAGATGTCTCACAGTGGAACCTGTGATGTTAAGGTGATGCATGTCACCTCTTTATATGCATAGTAATATAGTACTGCATTCATAATTCATTGATGCTAATAGTTCTGGCCAATGATGTCTAAGCCACTGTTGTAGGAGGCAGTGACTTCTTCCTCTATGTTAAGCAGTTGTGTGAAATGAAATCCACAACCTTGGCATACGTATGCACTGGTGTTAAGTAACAGAAATAGCGAGACAACATAAGTAGGGCAGGCTGTTCAATAAGGTGTGAACAGCAACCTTGACTGCCTAAGTAAGCTTTTCACTCCCCCCCACCCCCACCCATGGCCAAATGGATCCATGAGGCATAGATCGGTTTATGTGGTGACCCGTGAAGATTTGTCACACTGAAAGCTGCCTTGAATGTGAGCCAGGTGTCTCAGTGTGATTTTGGAAAACCGACCCTGTTAGCTGCTGGGTCGAACCTGCACCTGTGACCCTCTGGTTAGTTCTTTGAGGCATTTAGCTTCTATGAAGGATAAAGAGGGAGGAGTTAAGGACTTGTAAACAACACAGAGGTTAAGACAATACCAAAACACAATCTGTTGTTAAGGTGCTATGCATAACAGTCACTGATCTTTCATAAAATTTTAGGGTGGCATTATAACAAGTGAAATTATTGAGAAAAAACACAAATCTGGGAATGGGCCCCAAAATGTCTCTTTCTCTGGGATTGTGCATAATTTTTAGAGGAATATTAGGAATACAATGTGATATTACACATTTATATTTGAGTTCATATTTCAGCAAATAAATTTTAAAAATATATCTTTGGAGACAAGTTCTCAACAAATTTGAGAATTAATTTCTCTATCTCCTTTCCTTTGCGGTTACCACATATAGAGTAATTTGTGTGAGAAGAAAGGCATCTAATAACCCAGGAAGAGTCATGTTTCAGCAACATAATGGCTTCTTATTTAGGGGAAGCATGCTCAAGTTTTGTTTTTGATCTTTCTGATGTTTCATGCAAATGAACAGTTGGTCTAAAAATTTTCCCCCCAAATATTTTAGTCCTTCTTGTAAGGGTAGAAGTAGTATTTTGTCCTTGGCCATTTTTGTTGTAGCAAAATACTGATAGCCCAACTTAGCTGTGTATACTATTGGCCACCCGTTGATCAAGATTTGAGAGACATTCATTATTTTCATCTTTTAGAGACTGTCTTTCACAATAATGTTAGATGACTAAGATTAAGAATTAGATTATACATGAGAGTGAGAGAGATAAGATCCATTAAAGGTATATAAAAGAAGTAATTTGAATGTTAATGTAGCTCTAGCAATTCTGGAATTTGAGTCTAGATTCTTGAGACAAATAGAACTGAGGGAGGCATCATGACACACAGAAAGGTTAAGGCTACCATTCCTTGAACACTTAAAAAGTAACTATCATTGTATGTTAAATGATATTTAAAGACAGGAATACTGTCTTTACAAAACAAAATATCATATTAAAATTAAAAGATGAAAATAATTCTGTATTATATATAGTCTTACCTGAAAATTTAAATGTGGAAGAATCTATAAGCAAAGACCCAGTTTCACCCTTTAGCTTCTGATATAAAATGGTTTCAATACTATCCCAATATTTTGCTGCATTATTTTTATAAAAAGATTTAAACTTCAGCACAGCATGTATTATCACTTTCCCTTTGGCTCGGCTGCAAAACATAAACAGACAAATAAATTGTGCTTTTATTACTGAACTCTATTACTCTTAGTGGGAGAGATGTATAGTTTCTAAATAACAGGTAAATGTTAAGATAATAACAAGGTAGAATTATGCTTCGCTTCATTACTCTCTCAGTACTTCCCAAGGGAACAAAAATGGCACTGGATGGACATAGTATAAGCAGGAGTGAACCTATTTTTTTGCCAAGGCCCATTTGGCCTTTTTTTAAAAAAAGATTAATTTTATTTATTTTGAAAGACAGAGTTACACAGAGAGGTAGAGACAAAGAAAAGGGTCTTCCATCCACTGGTTCACTCCCCAGTTGGTCACAATGGCTGGAGCTGCATCGTTCTGAAGCCAGGAGTCAGGAGCTTCTTCCAGGTCTCCCACGTGGGTGCAGGGGGCCAAGGACTTGAGCCATCTTCTACTGCTATCCCAGGCCATAGCATAGAGTTGGATTGGAAGAGGAGCAGCTGGGACTAGAACCTGTGCCCATATGGGATGCCAGCGCTTCAGGCCAGGGCTTTAACCTGCTATGCCACAGCACCAGCCCCCATTTGTACATTTTTAATGCCATTCACAGGCCATACAAAATTAGCAACTTAAAAATTAGCCTGCCGTAGATTTTTTTATTTTTGAGTGCTGGCTGTGATTAACTTGGTAAGTCCAGACTAAATGAATTTGCAGGCTTTAAATGGTCTGTAAGCCAGATGTTCCCCACCCCTGAAAGAGTGTGATTTAAACTCAGGGGAACTGGATTTATAGTTTAGATTTAGCATTTGCCAACTCCTTGACTAGAGCAAGCTGTTTGCATTCTCCATACCTAAGCCTCATTAACTCTAAAATGATAATCTTGTTTATTGGGTTATTGCAAATATCACTATAGATTATAAGCATCATATAGATAATGCATATATGAGAAGAGGTATTTTCAAAGTCTCAGAGTGCTTTGGAAAATTATTTCTTATGAAATGTATTTATGTGTTATGAATCCACTGTGGACTCTATAGGAAGGGCCAATAGAAAATAATAAAGTAATAGGTAAAATGAGTGAGTATTGTATTATCTTGGCTTTCTTTTAATGGAGGCATAATTTATAATAGTGTGCCAGTTGTCTCTCACCTCTTGGGAATCAGAAATGAGAGCAGAAACGTTAGGCTAGATTTCTTTCATTTGTAATTCTGACTTGAAGATTCAAATGTGTAAGCCAGAAGTTTTAAAAGGGAATAATTCCTATTAACAGACTCATTTATACTCTACTCTGTCTCTGTGCCTCTTTACCTTTTCATAGGCATGTCTCTGTATTTGTATGCTTGAAAATACACAACAATCCTGGATCTCTATGTAACTCAAGGAGAAGCCTATAAACATCAACTTCCAAGCCTTTGAAACACTCATCAACAAAAACAGAAACCATGGCCAAGATCCAATATTTTCTGAGTAATCATAATGTCTTACTATTGCAATTTTCCAGGATAATTTACAATAAATGAATTAGCTGCTTTCTATATTACCCTTTATCACTTTATGCTTTAAGGTGCATGGGTACTTAGTGCTCTTCCTTAGGGGGCTATAAATGCACAACTTTTTATTTCCTTTATATAATATTAAATTGTTAGCAGTTTAATGTCAATTTATTAATTATTCTCACTTCTTATTTGCTCTTATGTTTCTCACAGGTATAATTCTAATTTATCTGATTTGTAGGGACAGTCCTTCTTGTTCCTTATGGAACATAAAAGGACATATCATATAACTGTTTATTTTAAACATTTTGTCCAACCACAGGTGTCACTCTGAACTTATCTCCTGGGTCAAATAACAATCTAAAACCAAACTAAATATAGACATTTGGAATCTAATTCTGATGTCATTAAGGTCATATGATGCTCTTTTTCACTGAAAACGTGAACTAAAAATTATTTTAATTTTACTTTATCCTGATTCACAAAATAATCTTTAGTTCTATGTAACAAATGTCTGTAATTCTTTACCACAGGAAATTTTTCTTCCCATTCTTATGTTGCCATTAATTAATTCCCTTAATAAATGTCTGTTAGTCCAGATAATATGCCCGACAGACCACAAGGTCCTGCTCCTACCCATGCTATTTATATTCCAGTAGGAGAGAATGCCTCTTTGAAGTGAGACCTTAATGACAAGGAGGGAGTCATGCTAAGAACTGGGAGAGGAACATTCCAGGAACAAGAAACATCACTGCAAAAGCCCTGATCAAGATGGCTTCAATAGTTCCTTCAGCATCGTTATATCTTAGGTTGGCTTCTTCCTGACTCTTGGCTCTCCTCTGTCTTTTCTTAGAGCATTTACGTCACAAAACTTGCAGTTGTGAATTCCTTTCTCTTTTCTTTGGAGTTATATGTGAATCTTTGAAGACTATCTTGTCACTTTACAATCACAAAAATGACTTTCCTGAGGACCTGAAAGCTATCTTTTTGAACTGTAACCATCAAAGGAGATGACCTTCCTACTTCCTGGTTTCTCTGGGAGGGTGGGAAGATAACTTCAGTGGGTAACTTGTCAGAAGTTGTAAAACCACCTCTTGTTATTAAGAAACAGATATCTGTTTTCCTTTGGGTAAAGCCTAAGCTATTCCTCTTACCCAAGCATTTAAAAATCCTACCTACATATGGCCTAAGTTCTTCCTTTCCACCCATGCATTTAAAAACCCTGCCTCCCTCTGTTTCAGCAGAGTTAAGGGTTCTGCCATCTCTCCCTTATTGCAAAAAATAGCCTTGAAGAAAGTCTTCCTTGTCTGTTTAACTTTACTCAGTGCAGCTTTTACATTGACAGCCCTGTGGTGGGTACACGCTAATTGTTTTAGTGGGGAAATAGTAGCAGATCAGTGTATATTATAAATTTGTGAGTGAAGATGATAGTGAGATGAGGTCAGGTAGAGAGAGAGGCAAGGACCAGGTCAGGTAGGGTCAAGTGTATTACAATAGGGAGCTTGGAATTTGTGGGAAACTGTCGGAGACATTATACAGGGAACAACATACTTTTGCATCTCATTTTGGCTGCTCTGTGGAGAATTGATATTCGTGGAATAGGAGCAAAGGCTGAAGGTTAGAGAAGTTGATACAGTAATTTAGGTAAAACCATTTGGGTTCATATTATAGCTTTATTATTTACTAAATGTGTTAGGCATCTTTCCAAGGTCATAGCTGGTGTTCTTATATGCCTGGCAAATACTTAGCCTATCTTTTGCTTTAGTGTCTGAAAGATGGGAAATATATGTGAACTATACATGATTATAAAATATGGAACTAATATACACAAGTTATTCAGGATTGTTTTCATGTTGAATGAGCTAATATAAATGAAGTATTTACAACCACTGTTAAATTACACATTAATAAAATCTGCTTCTCCAAATACAATGATCTAAATATTTTATCCTATTTTTAAGTATATCCAGAAGACTTTCCAGTTGTATCTCAAGAATATAACCAAATACAACATCCTTTTGGGATAAAATCCTTAGGCAAATTAGGGATAGAAGGAACATATTTAAACACAATCAAGGCACTATATGACAGACTCATAGCCAGCATCATATTGAATGGGGGGAAAGCTAGAAGCATTTCCACTCAGATCCAGAACAAGTAAAGGATGCCCACTTTTACCATTACTACTCAATATAGTTGTGGAAAATTTAGCCAGAGCCATTAGGCAAGAAAAAGAAGTCAAAGGGGTGCCAAAGGAAAAGGAGGAAGTCAATTTATTCCTGTTTGCAAATGACATGATCCTATACATAGGGAAGCCAAAAAACTCCACTAAGGGTCCATCAGAACTCATAAGAGAATTTGGCAAGGTTGAAGGATATAAAATCAACACACAAAAATCAATAGCATTGTATATGCAAACCATGCCATGGCTGAGAAAAAACTTGTAAGATCAGTCCCATTCACAATAGCTAAAAAAATTTAGATACCTTCAGATAAATTTAACCAAGGATGTAAAAGATCTCTACAATGGAAATTTCAAAATATTAAGGAAAGAAATAGAAGACACACACAAAATGGAAAAATCTTCCTTATTCATGGATTGGAAGATTTTAATATCATCAAAATATTCATATTACCTAAAATAATTTACAGATTAAATATGATTCCAATCAAAATACCAAGGGTATTTCTTCTCAGATCTAGAAAAATTACCCTAAAATTCAAATGGAAACACAAGAGACCCTGAATGGATAAAGCTATCTTAAATAGCAAAAACAAAGGCTGAGATATCACATTACCAGATTTCTAGACATATTACAAGGCAGTTGTAATCAAAATGGCCTGATAGATAGTGGCACAAAAATAGACATGTAGACTAATGGAACAGATTAGAATTCCAGAAATTAATCCATGCATCTACAACTGACTAAACTTTGACAAGCAAGCTAAAATTACTCCTGGGGGAAAGGACAGTCTCTTCAATAAATTGTGTTGGGTAAATTGGATCTTTACATACAGAAGTATGAAATAAGACCCCCTACTTTATACCTGTACAAAAATCAACTTACAGTGGATCAAGGATATAAGCCTAAACCGGAACCCATCAACTTGCTAAATATAGGGGAAATCCTGCAAGACATTGGCGTAGCCAATGATTTCTTGAATAAGACCCCAGAAACAGGGCAATCAAAGCCAAAATAGACAAATGGGATAACTTCAAGCTATGAAGCTTCTACATAACAAAGAAAACAACAACAAAATAAAAAGGCAACCTACAGAATAATGAGAAAATATTAATGAACTATACATCTGTAAAGAATTATTATCCAGAATATATTAGGAGCTCATGAAACTTAGCAGCAACAACAAAACAATGAATCTAGTTAAGAAATGGGCTAAGGATATGAACAGGCATTTTTCAAAGGATAAAATACATATGACCAATAGACACATGAAAAAATGTTCAGGATCACTAGCCATCAGGGAAATGCAAATGAAAACCACAATGAGGTTTCACCTCATCCCAGTTAGAATGGCTATCATCCAAAAATCCAAAATTAACAAATACTGGTAAGGATATGGAGAAAAAGGTACCTTAATACACTGTTGGTGGGAATGTAAACTAGTGCCACCATAATGAAAGACAGTGTGGAGATTCCTCAGGAATCTGAAAATCTACCAGATGATCCATCCACCCCCTCCTGAAATCAGCATATGAAAGAGTTATCTGTACCCTCATGTTTATAGCAGCTCAATTCACAATAGAGCAACCCAGATGTCCATCAAATGATGACTGGATGAAGAAAAATGTGGTATTTATATATGATGGAATAATAAAAAATAATTAAATCCTGTTTCTTGCAAAAAAATGGATGCAATTGGAGACCATTATGCTTAGTGTAAAAAGACAAATATCATACATTTTTGTTGATTTGTGGTAACTAATACATGAAGTACTAAGAAAAGTAATGTGTGTGAGTATAATTCATATTTTGAGATGCTATTATTTTTTCTAACCCTTGTCTATATTCCTGAGGAACAGTGGTCTTTCTACTTAATACTCATTGAAGCCTTAATTTAGTGGAGAATTAAGCTTGTGATTATAAACTAAAATTATGCCATCACAAAAATTAAATATAAGGGTGTCAGCATTGTGGTATAATGGGTTAAGCTGCTGCCTGCAATGCCAGTTTGAGCCCTGGCTGCTCCATTTCCCATCCAGCTCCCTGCTGATGTCCTTGGGAAAGCAACAGAGGATGGCCCAAGTGTTTGGGTCCCTGCACCCATGTGAGAGAACAGGATGAAGCTCCTGGATCCTGGCTTTGGCTTGGCTCAGCACTAACCATTGTGGCCACCTAAGGAGTGAACCAACAGATGGAAGATCTTTCTTTCTCTCTCCGTCTCTGTCTCTGTCTCTCTCTTGGTAACTCTACATTTTGAATAAGTAAAATAAAATGAAATAAAGAAAAACAAGAAAGGAAGGAGGAGGTAGGGTGAGAATATGGGCGGGAGGGAGGATGGAAGGCATCATTATGTTCTTAAAACTGTATTTATGAAATGCATGAGATCTCTTGTCTTTATATGAATAAATAAAAACATTAAAAAATCCATAAAAAGAAAAAAGAATAAAAAAAGGTTATAACCAGAGAGAATTAAGGTAAAATTAAGTACATAGACATTGGTTTAATGCTCCTTATTTCCAAATAGACACAGTTTTTTTAAAGTGATGATTATTGTATAGCATTCAGACTCAAACTTTTTGCTTAGATTTCATGTAATTTTTCCTATTTGGATATAGAATTACTACATTTGAAGAATGACTCCCACTGCATAAATTGTTTGTTAATCCATTATAATTGCCATCTCATCTTCCCAGAGAAATTTTACCTCTGCTTTCCTCTTGAGAACTTATTAATACTGATAACACTAAAGAATCATTTAAAATAGAATGTTTAGTGTATGCTGCTATATTTAATCTATCCTGAGTTGAGTTTTTACAGGGTGATAAGGACAATTATTATACTCCCAGGAGGCTTAATTTTTTTTCGCTCCCATACAGCATCAATCACAGAACTTTGCTTATAACATTTAATAGTTAATGATCCTGATGGTAAATAGGAAGGAGCAACCTGGCACATGTAATGCACAAAAGAGGTTGATAGTTCATATCACTGAGCTTATTAAACAAAAGACAAAGCTGAACATGCCTACTTGAGGGAATCTTTCTGCCCAGGCAGAGTTTGTGTTAGCCTGTATTGTTTCCCTAAAGTGTATGCTCCCCACCTAGGCTCATAGTTTTGCCCATCCAGACTTTGACACTGCTTATTGGGATTGTAATTATGTTAGTTTGCTTGAAACTCAGGCACTCTGGCATGGGATGTAGCAACCCAACTGGCATTGTGATCCCTAGGCCAAATGCTGATTGCTGTAGTACCAAGGGTTTTGAGGCCCCAAATTAAAATGTATTTCAACCCGTTAGTTGTATGTCAAGCAAAAATTATCCTGTAGCATATGAGACATGTAAATGAAGGGAAAAAGTTTATTCCTTGTGCCTTTCAGTCTATTGTACATACCTTACTTGGACAACATGAGATTTGACATACTGTCTTCTCAGTTTAGATCCATGAAATGTTTCATTCATCTGTTAAAAAGTAAAATTGAAAGTGTCTTATGTTTAATTTTTTCTCATTTTAAATTTTCATTTTGGAAAACTTCAAATATATATAGTAGCATAAAGAATAGTAACATGCATCCATTACTCAGCTTGAGTAATTATCAATAGATTCCCTTTTGCTCCTCTCTGTCTCACAGGAATTAAATGATTCCTTAACATCATCCAATTTACAGTCTTAAGCTTTCCCAGGTCAAGGGGAATAGCATGATAGAATATTCAAGGGATCACTGAGTTTGTTTTTCTTCTATGTGTAACCTTTTATTGAATATAAATGCCATGAAACCTAATAGAAATGTTCCCTGAATGAGAAGTTTTTGTACTATATTTTTGTACTATGTCAGGCTTCTTTAATGCTTGTACTGCAAATCTAATTTTCGCATGTTTTCAATTACATGCTTTTGTAAATTTAAAAGTGGGGGGTACATGGAAATCTTACGGAGAAATTTTTTGTAACAATCAGTTTTTCAGCTGCACCCCTGACTGCCTAACCTAACAGATGATTTCCTATAGTTGGGCCTTTACACATCTCTAGTCAATCAGTTTTGTTCTTGTTGCTTTTACTCAGGCAGAGACAGGCTTTATAAACAATGACTTATTGTTGGAATTGAGAAGAGTTCATTTATGCTTTTTCCTTATCCAAAGGAATTGGAATGTGCTTATTTAGTCAGTAAATACCTTTTGAAGTACAACTATGAACAAGATTTATTGAGTCATACTTCCTTAGTGGTTTAATGAAGAAAACAGATAACAGAGGAAGAAATAACTATAAATATGATAATGTGAAATATTATTAAGTGATATAAAGAATGTAAAATAATGAGATGTAGTATGTAAGTTCTCAAGTTAAGCCTCTTTGAAGAATTGACATTTGAAACCTGAAAGATGTAAAATTGACAATTAAGAGAAGATGGAGAGGAGTCCAACGTGGAAGTTCCTGGCGCAGCAGGCTTTCGTAGAAAACGCCTGGAAGCGGCAAATGAAGGCCCAAGTGAGTGGAGGCGGCGCCGCCAAGGCTGGAATAGAAGTCGCTGCTGAAGCTGGGGCCTCTCTCGAACGATTGGGCGAGTACAGACAGGCGGTTCCTCATAGGTGGCTTTTTCTCGAGTATTTTTTCCAGTCTTTTTGGAACCCGGGAATGAGGATTTTAATTTTGGGACCAGATGGAGCAGGGAAAAAAACCACAATTTTGTATAGATTACAGGTTGGAGAAGTCGTTACCACTATTCCTACCACTGGACTTAATGTAGAGACAGTGATGTACAAAAACCTTAAATTCTAAGTCCAGGATTTAGGAGGACAGGCAAGTATCAGGCCATACTGGAGATGTTACTATTCAAATACAGATGCAGTCATTTATGCAGTGGACAGTTGTGACTGAGGCCGAATTGGAATTTCCAAATCAGAATTAGTTGCTATGTTGGAGGAAGAAGAGCTGAGAAAAGCCATTTTAGTGGTGTTTGCAAAGAAGCAGGACATGGAGCAGGCCATGACTCCCTCAGAGATGGCAAATTCACTTGGGTTACCTGCCTTAAAGGTTCGCAAGTGACAAATATTCAAAACATCAGCAACCAAAGGCACTGGCCTGGATGAGGCCATGGAATGGTTAGTTGAAACATTAAAAAGGAGACAGTAATTCATTCACAGGAGGTCCTCTGAAATGAAGGCTATTTCATCTATCTCTGGAAACAGTCAAGTGTGCCTCACACTACTAAGTGTTGATACTAAGTATGATTGTTGGCACACCCTGAAGTGACTGCGATGTTTGTAATAAACGTAAAAAATAATTATTTGGTTGGAAGGGTAACTTGATTGAATCACTTGGAGTTCCATATAATGTAAAATATTCTTTCCTTGCTTTCATGTGTTAAAATATATATTCTGCTGTATGGAATTCTTATTCAGAGACAGTCCCATTAAATACACTCTTATTGGGGGAAAAATCCTCCTATTTTTGAATTAGTGGTTGCAGCTTGTTTGTATAAACACTAACAAATAAACTCAGATTTTTCCCCCTTAAAAGGAATTAAGTCAACCTAAAAATGATAGATTAAGTAGGCTTGGGACATAGGATGTATTATAGTCTTCATTTGCTTAACTGACGACTTGAAGCTGTTTTGTTTAAAAGCTTTTGATTATGGGCATGAATATTATTTTGGTGGTGGACTTATCTGTAATTGTCATTTTATAGTACTTTATAGTTAGAAAAGTTCACCCACATTGACCTTTTGGATTTGTACAGGAACACTGGGAAGCAGGTGGGATGGGTTGCATTGTCTTCAGTGTGTGGATGTGGACCCAGGGTTCTGATAGGTTGGCTTGTTCAAGGCCACCTGCTAGTAAGTTGAGAATAGGGCTTTAAGCAAGACTTTTAAGTCAGAAACTTGGGTCATAAAGTATAGTACATAGTCCTAAAAATATCAACATTGACAAAACAACCTAACTCTTAAAATTATGCTAAAGTAATCACAGTATATTCTAAACAATGTCTACATTACTTGTCCATACTAGCGGAAGTGATGCATATTAAAGCAGAAAATTCATATTAAAGGAAATGTTTTAAAAATCTATTTTAAGCAGCATTTTAAAAGATGCCTTTACTGTATTTCATTCCTTTTACCTGTGATTGGACATGTAAATTTGGTTAAAAGTCAAAATCTTACTGGTTCTATAGGAGAAAATTACACATTCTTGGTTTTCAAGATTGCTTTCGGGGCTGGCATTGTGGTGCAGCTGGTTAAGCCTCTGCCTCCAATGCCAGCATCCCGTATGGGCACTGGTTCAAGTCCTAACTGTTTCACTTTTGATCCAGTTCCCTGCTGATAAGCCTGGGAAAGCAGTGGAACCTGCCACCCACATGGGAGACCTGGATAAATTTTCCTTGCTATTGGCTTCTACCTGACCCAGCCCTGGCCATCTGGTGATAAACCAGCGGATGGAAGCTCTCTCACTCTCTGTTTCTCCCTCAAACTGTAATTTTTCCTTTCAAATTTGTTTTTCAAATTAGGCCTTCTGCTAGGCTATGAGTTTAAAAAGCAATTTATGTGTTAAGGAACTTTCCAAACTACCAAGTCCACTCCATTGCAGGATCAGCAATGTGACAAGAGTAAATACAGTTATGAGTAATTACTGAAGGGGGCTAAGTTTTTTTCTTTTTCATTCTGGACAACCAGCATTTCAAAAATCAATGCTGGTAAAGAGAATAATTGCGTTGAGCCCCCCAAACCTCAGGAACACTAGTAGTTCATTTCCTGGCTCTCACTGTCCTTGCAGATGGGGCATTCTCTCTGCTCATATGAAAGCAGTTTTCTCTTTTCATCTGTGGGATTTTAAGAAAACTCCTTGCCCAATCCCCAGCACCCATTCCTGATTTGGTCTCCCCCCGCCGTGGGCACTAGAATTTTCAGTACAACTACTACTACTCTTGATTTCAGAGACTTTCTCATTGTGTCATCAGTGTCCGGAATAGTATAGTGCCTGGCACATTGGGGCATTTAAGGATGTGTTCACAACTGACAGGATGTGTATTTGTCAGCCTGAAAGATAGTACCCCTACAATTTATACTTGCATTCCTTCTAGTCAATGGCACAGGCTAGGACAAGCTAGATCAAGAAAACAAGCTCACTTATGAGCAACAAAGTAGCTACTCCCTAGCAATTCAGGAGCACTGAAAAATCTCAAGTATAGGGAAGTAAGGACTTGGCAGGCAGGCAGATGCACTCCCTGAAGGCACACGGTTCTTGCTCTCTTGAATTGTGATGGCATGCAGCTGTCCCAGATGTCAGGACTTTGGTGATCCTGATCCCTCTGCTTTGTCACAAAGTATTGGATGGGATAGCATGTACATTTATTTAATGGAGTTTAGATTATAAGGTCTTTGTCTAGCAGAAAACAGCTGCATAAGTAGGTTACCAGGATCTGAATGCTGATATTTAACAAAAGCAAGACCAAAAGAAAATCTGAATGCTATTTTGTGAGAAGACTGAAAATGGGAAAGGCACCGAACTTGGTATTAGAACATGAATTCTGGGTTTAAATGCTCACCACTTCAGCTTCTTTTCTATAAAACAAGACCTGGACAAATGATACCAAAGTTTTTGTTGAGTGAGCTCTAACATTTTATAACTCTGGTTGGTAGCTGTACTGTGTTATGTGATTCTGCTATAAAGGGGAAGTGGCAGAATTGCCATCTGAATACCTGAGATGCACTTTAACTGTGGAAATGTAAACTGTGAGGGCAGGGACCATCTTATTTACTGTTAGTGTCCCTGGCATCTAATGTGGTGTACCTGGCACAAAGTAAATCAATAAATATGAATTAAAAAAATGAGAAAAAGAAGAAGAAACAAGTAAGAATATTAGGTAAGAATGAGATTTATATATTTGAAGGAGAAAAATAAAGCTATGATCCAAGTAAAGTAAGCAAGGGAGAAAGTGCATAAGTTAAAGTTTTCCAAGTAGGGAGGGGTAAGATTAGAGGGCTTGCATAAAATGATAAGAAGTGTAGATCTTATTTCTAAATAGAGTGCATGGAGGGGGTTTCTGGAAAGATGATGAGTAAATTGTACCATATTTTTCTTCCATTCGCAATTCCAATGTATCTGCTTAACCTGGAGTCACATAGATCAGACATTATAGGAGTCAGGGAAGCAAGGAAGTGATGAGGAACTTTCTCTCCAATGGATCAGGCAAGAACCTAGAGATTTGTCTGAGAATCTTGTGCAAATAAATAATTACATGGGGCCTTTGGAATAGCTTTTTGTGAATAACCAGAATAAAATTGACATGAACTTAGATGAGTGAGTTTCTGTGGCCCTACAGAGGCCAAAAAGGATTTGGAAAGGAGGAAGAGGATGAAGTTTCATTTCTTCTGAGGTTGGGCTAATGCAGTGGATTGAAAATAGGAAGCCAGAAGAAATTTTCTGAGGTTTTAGTATGGAGAAACAGAATGCCTGCTGCCTGACTTTCAGCCTATAAGACTTAAGAACATCTTGCCTTCCATCATGTGAGTCCATAGACAAGTGGCCCAAATAAGCCCATAAAAAATTGATAATACAAATAAAGGAGCATACCAGGCAGATCCAAAGAGAACTTCAGGAGGAAACAGATACCAACTCAAAAAACAATGTCAAACAAGCACACAAGAATTTTCAGAAACAGCACCCCCTACCCCTAAAAAAGACTATTTGGTGCTGAAACATAATTTTAAAGCCTAAAAATTCAATATGTCAGATTGATTTAAAAAACATCCTGCTAATTTTTAAAATTTTGAGAGGCACACACACATACACACACACACAGAGGGAGAGAAAAATCAAGCGAGCTTTTGTTTGCTGATTCCCTCCACAAATGCTTGTAATAGCCAGGGCTGGGCCGGGACAAAGCTAGAAGTCCAGAATTCAATCCAGGTCTCCCACATGGGTAGCAAGGACTCAAGTACTTGAGCCATAATTACCTGCTGTCTTCCAGGGTACACATTAGCAGGAAGCTGGAATCAAGAGCTGAGGCTGGACTTGAACCCAGGCGCTCCATCATGGGCTATGGTCATTCCAAGCAGCATCTTAACTAGGCCAAACATCTGCCCTGTCAGATTGATTTAATTGGGTGATGTAATCAAGATGGCTGACTAGAGGAGCCTGGAGCACTTCTCTCCATAAGAAATGACCAAAAATAAAGAAAAAAGGCCAGGTATTTCTTCAGAATATTTGAGGAAAAGCTGCAAAGTATAGTGAGAATGTGACAGTTACATCTTAGAACATGGAGATATATAACCTTGTAAAAAAAGAGAACTAAGTACATGGCATTTACTTTTCTGTTTCTCAAAGTCAATCCTGAACCAAGAATGACTTTGCTGGGCAGGGAATAGGTAGGCAAGAGACCCCTGCTGTCTTAACTCATCCATGAATATCTGAAGCATTTGCTGATGGAGAATCCTGCAGACTTCACAAGCCCTGAGCCATTTGGAAAGCCACTAGGTCACCTCACTGCTGCATTGCCCTGGAGGAAGAGCTCACCTTATGTTGTGTAACCCCCCACTGATGATCCCACTGCACAATGCCATCTGGAGAGCCCCCCACTCACCCAGTGAAATTTCTTGGCATATTTAACATACAAAATTGAACTGTGCAGACCTGGAAAAATTTAGAAGGCCAAAAACAAGTAATGAGTCAGTACTAAAAAGTCTCCCAACAAAGAAAAGCCAAGATTGGATGGCTACATTGATACATGGCTACATAACCAAACCTTTTAAAAAAACTGTCTTTCTTTAATAGAGAGAAGACAGATTCATTCTCTCTCTCTCTCTCTCTCTCTCTCACACACACACACACACACACACACAGCTTTTATCTGTAGGTTCATACCCTAAATGCCATAATAACCTGGATTAGGCTGGGCTGGGGTTGAGAGTTTGGATCTCAATCCAGGTCTCCCATCTGAGTGGCAGAGACCTACCTACTTGAGCTATCACCATCTGCCTCCCAGAATCTTCAGCAAAAGCAAAAATTAGAAAATTTTTCAAACTTAGAAGCTTCTGTACATGAAAGGAAATGATCAAGAGTGGAAATATAACCTTACAGAATGGGAGAAAATATTTCAAACCATTCATCTCACAAATGATTAATATCTAGAATATATAACTGACTCACGAATCCAACAGCAGAAAAAAAAAAAAAACCAAGAACCCCTTAAAGACTTAAATAAGATATGACTAAATGACCTGAATGGATGTTTCCCACAAGAAGACATACCAGAGGCTAACAAGTATAGGAAAAAGGGCTCAAAATCACTAATCATCAGGGAAATGCAATTCAAAACCACAATGAAATATTTCATTGAATGATAAATGATGTACTTTAATTTTTATTTTTAAAAGATCACTGTAGCTACTGTGCAGAATACAGATTATAGGGAGATTATATTGGAAGCAAAGCAACCAATTAGGAAGCAGTTTTAATATCTGCTAAAAAAATGCCCGCCCCCATTAGTTTAGAGGTTAAGGTTGAACAGCTGGGTTGATTTAGATCTTATTGAGATAACTAGGATTGGAAAAGGAATTAATCTTGAGGTGAGGACCATGAGTTATCTTTTAAGGGTCATCAATGTAGTTGGCTTTAAATGGGGGTTTTGGATAAGATAGGTGTAGGGAAAACATAGCTACAAAGACAAAATTTGGAGAGAGATGGGGAAGAGAGGATCAGCTTGGGAGGATGTCATGGAGACTTCCTGTATTTAGGTTCTGTATATAATGAGGAATCTACAAAGATAACAGGGAAAGCAGCTAGTGAAGAGGAAGAGAACCTAGAGAGAGGATAATATAGAAACCCACAAAAGAAAAGGTTCAAGGAGGGAAGGAGAGTAAGCATGAGAGTTTCAAGGAACAAGTGATCATCAGATTTGGCAACAGTGTAGTCTTTGTTGAGTTTAGTGAGATGGAGAGAAAGGGAATCCCGGTTGGATTGAATTAGGGAGATAAAGAGGTGGAAACAAGAGGTATACCAAATTTTCAACAAAGTTTTGAGAAGAGAAACAGGGACATGAGTTTGCAGAAGAACGTGCAACTTAAAAGATGTTTTTAGAAGATAAGTATGTGAACAAGTTAACTGGCATCTCTGATGAAAAGACTGTGAAATATGGTGGTGCATTTTAGGAGAGCTGTAGTGTTACGGTGTCTTATTTCCTAAGAGAAACAGAGAATCCTATGGAAAATAGAAGAATATATTTTGAATATGGTTAGCAGTGACTGACTTTTGTCTTTGAAGAAATAATTGGTCAGTAAGGTACAGGGAACATACTATTTTAATATATGTGCTGCCAAAGTGAACACCAGGGAACATACTTACAACTACAAGGAATAGGCATGACAGAATTATATTGTTCTATGTGTGTCTGGAGACAGAGTGCAGTTGATAATAGTAGATTCAGGAAAATTTCAGCTTGAAAAGAATCTTTAACATAATTGTATCCAGTTTTATCCTTCAAATAAGTAAACAGAATCTTGTCCATGCTAACTATTTTCAATATCAAGTGGTTTTGCCTAGTATACAAGCAATATCACTTTCTAAATTTTAAAGATAGTTCTGTGTCATGACACTACTTATTGGATAGGAAATAAAATTTTTATCATAAATTGAAGGCTTGTACTGATTGACAGTTTAATTTGGACAGAATTTTGATGTGATTAAAATAATGAGTATTTCATTTCGGGAACATATATTTCTATTATTCTTTTACTTGTTCAGTTATGTATTACAGTTTTATTCATATAGATTTTGTATGATTTGTGCTCATTTTTTGTATTTTATTATTTTGTTACTATTATATAGTACTTAATTAAAATTTTATATTTTGTTATTTTTAGCATTTAATCTTAAGAAAGCTATTATGGATTGGTTTTATGTTTGGCCAGTTTACAAAACTCTCCTACAGATTATAGATATTTTTCAATCAAGTTTCTTGGATATTTTGAGTATATTAGGATACTTCAAAAATTACAAGAGAGGAAGGAGGGCTAAAATTTAGCCTTAATGGTTAAGATGCACATTAACAATGAAAGAGTGAGGGAGAGGGAGAGGAAGGTGGGGGAGACACAGGCAGAGGGGAGAGAGAAAGAGAGAGACAGAATCATTATATTCTTAGAATAATGTCTATGAACTACATCAAATCTGTTTTCTTTGTATTAATTCCATATTAATATAAGAATTGGTGAGAATTGTGTTGTAATTATCATGCATTTACTGTGTCCCCGTGATTCTATTGTATAACTTTCAAAATAAAATTTAAAAAAATGATGCCCACACCCACTTTGGAGTACCTGGGTTCAGTTTTTGCCTCTGATTTCTGACTCTAGCTTCCTGCTAATATAGACCTGGGGAGACAGTGGTAAAGGTTCAAATAATTGGGTTACTGCTGCTCATGTGGGAGTTCTGTATTGAGTGCCCATCCTAATTTTGGCCTAGCCCAAAATAACCACAGCAGTGGCTGGGAGCTATTTGTCTATCTTTTTATGTCTCTCTGCCTCTCAAATAGATAATAAAAGTCCAATATGTAAATGGAAAGTAGTATTAAAAGATTTTTATTTCATGTAAGATTTTTTTGAAGTTTGCATATTCTTTTAAGTAATATGATTATTTATGGTACTAAAATCACCTATGAGTCATTACAATAGTTACCAAATGAAGAAGACTTAAGTACCAATGAATCTATGTTTTTAAGAAACAGAAACCATGGCCAGCGCCGTGGCTCACTTGGTTAATCCTTTGCTTGTGGCACCAGCATCCATATGGGCACGGAGTTCTAGTCCCGGTTACTCCTCTTCCAGTCCAGCTCTCTGCTGTGGCCCGGGAAGGCAGTGGAGGATGGCCCAAGTGCTTGGGCCCCTGCATCCACATGGGAGACAAGGAGGAAGCACCTGGCTCCTGGCTTCGGATTGGCACAGCGCCAGCTGTAGTGGCCATTTGAGGAGTGAACCAACGGAAGGAAGACTTTGTCTCTGTCTCTCTCTCTCACTGTCTATTACTCTACCGGTCAAAAAAAAAAAATCAGAAACCTTATCAAATCTAGAAATGTGGTTATATAGAGAAACAAAAAAATACAAGAGATTGTCCTTTGAACATTTTCAAAATAAAGTACAAGTCCTAAAGATCTAACTACCACATGAGAGAGCAGAAAATTTTTTAGAATATAATTGCAATCACTTCTCTCAATAATTTCTCTTTCCTAAAGCATAAGACTTTATTTATTTTTTAAGACTTTAGTGTATGGCCAGCGCTGGGGCTCACTAGGCTAATCCTCTGCCTGTGGCGCTGGCACACCAGGTTCTAGTCCCAGTCGGGGCACCGGATTCTGTCCCTGTTGCTCCTCTTCCAGTCCAGCTCTCTGCTGTAGCCCGGGAAGGCAGTGGAGGATGGCCCAGGTCCTTGGGCCTTGCACCCGCATGGGAGACCAGGAGGAAGCACCTGGCTCCTGGCTTCAGATTGGCGCAGCGCGCGGGCTGCATCACGCCGGCCATAGCGGCCGCTTGGGGGGTGAACCAACGGAAACCGGAAAAAGGAAAAAAGGAAAACCTTTCTCTCTGTCTCTCCCTCTCTCACTGTCTAACTCTGCCTGTCCAAAAAAAAAAAAAAAAAAAAAAAAAGACTTTAGTGTAGTGACAATAATATAGTGTTGTTTAAGATATTCCTCTCCAACTAATTTTTTTATATAAGAAATCCAGATATTTAGAATTACTGTCACAAATGTATGGGAATTCTTTGTTTTTTAAGTTTTAAAAGGTTTTCAGAGTCAGGGAGAGAATTAGAGATAGAGAAGAGGGGAGGGGAAGGGAGAGGAGGAGAAGAGAGAAGAGGAGGGGAGAGGAGAGGAATGGAAGAGAGGGGAGGGAAGGGGAGGAGAGAGAGTGGAGTAAAGGAGAGAGAGGTGAGGAGGGGAGAGGAGAGGAGGGGAGGAGAGAGGAGAGGAGGGAAGAGGAGAGAGAAAAAGAAAGAAGCAGTTGGGGCCGGTGCTGTGGCGCAGAGGGTTAATACCCTGGTCTGAAGTGCCGGCATCCCATATAACCCGGCTGCTCAGCTTCCGATACAGCTCTCGGCTATGGCCTGGGAAACAGTAGAAGATGGCCCAAGTCCTTGGGCCCCTGTACCCACGTGGGAGACCTGGAAGAAGCTCCTGGCTCCTGGCTTCAGATCAGCGCAGCTCCAACCGTTGTGGCCAATTGGGGAGTGAACCAGTGATGGAAGACATCTCTCTCTCTCTCTCTCTGCCTCTCCTCTCTCTGTGTAATTCTGACTTTCAAATAAATAAATAAATCCTCTGTTCTGTCTTTGCACTTGTAGAAAGAAGCAGTTTTCATCCTCTTGTTCACCCCTCAATTCTAACAACGCACAGGGCTGGACCAGGACTGAATCTGAGAGCTGAGAACTCAATTTAGGTATCCCTTGTGCGTGGCAGGAATCCAATTACTTGAACCTTCTCTGCTGCATCCCAAGGATTGAATGGCTGGACCCAAGAATTGAACCCATACATGAGTGTTGATATCTTGAATATATAGAGTTTATTTATCTATATTTTTTTCCAGTTGTGGAAAGTAAAATCATCAGTAATTTTTATAAGGTATCTTCAAATCACTTGAAATACAAATTATAGCTCTATAATGTTGATTCCATTTTTGTTAAACCTTGGATCTTAATTCCTTTATGGATGGAAACCTGGTGAAAATGATTTTCATTAAATCAGCTAAACATTGTGTTTTAAACATAGCCTGGATCAGAGAGTAATGTTTGAATTTTCAGCCATCTTGGAATTCATATGTTAGATTTCTTTTTTTTTAATTTTTTTTAAATTTTATTTTTGACAGGCAGAGTGGACAGTGAGAGAGAGAGACAGAGAGAGGAAGGTCTTCCTTTGCTGTTGGTTCACCCTCCAATGGCCGCCGCTGCAGCCGGCGCACCACGCTGATCTGATGGCAGGAGCCAGGTACTTATCCTGGTCTCCCATGGGGTGCAGGGCCCAAGCACTTGGGCCATCCTCCACTGCACTCCCTGGCCATAGCAGAGAGCTGGCCTGGAAGAGGGGCAACCGGGACAGAATCTGGCGCCCCGACCGGGACTAGAACCTGGTGTGCCGGCGCCCGCAAGGTGGAGGATTAGCCTATTGAGCCACGGTGCCGGCCTCATATGTTAGATTTCTTATACATTTTGAGGAGCATGTAATTCAATGAACACTAACATATTTTTCCCTCAAACTGAAACAATGCCAATATATATTAGATGGAAAAGAAAGGACTGAATATTGTCATTTATTGTATTGTCTTTATAAAGTTATGTTTCTACCTCTGATGTACTCCACAGATAGGAGTCTAGGTTGTCTCAAAGAGAGGCATATATGAAAAGATGCTTATGTTTCTAGCGAGTTCAGGTTAGCTCAATGGAAAATTTATGAGACAAATGTTCTGGTTGTTTAGTGACATAAAATGCCTCCTATTTTTGGACCCTCTGGTAAATGGCTTGGTTTATAAGCTTGACTGGCCAATGTAGTCCTGTCAATCTTGGTACTTTTTGCATATATCTCTTTGGTTATCTGTAACCCAACACATTTATAAGTGAAAACTGCATCGATTTTGGTTAAACATTTTGGAATATTTGCCCAGTCATATGAAATTTATGTAAGTTAAGGTCTGCTCAAGGTTTTACAAAATCTGTATGCTTTTAAATTTTAGGACCATAGTCGTAGAGTGGAAGCATCTTTGTAGTATGTCTTTGAATACATTAACTTCAAAATGGTTGTTTTGTCGTAAGAAAATGGCATAGATCAGAACTGAAAGTTAGTAAAACTATTATTATTAAAGTCCTTCTCACTCCTCAATATTAGTATTTCTGTTCACTTTAATTGGATAGAATTTCTGCTGGAGAGCTACATATGAATAAGGAAAGATCAAGATTCCTTGAGTTTTCTATTAGAAAACCACTAATCTAAAGTATGAAAATCTTCTCTATTAAGACCTATCATTTGTAGTTAAAAACTGTCATTCATAGTAACGTAACATATCTCTTGATCCAATTTCTTTGCTTTTTTAAAAGTATGAATCATCACAAGAATTGCATGATGGAAATTTGCAGAAATAAATATGTAGATTGTAGGTTTTCTAATGATGACTAACAGGTAGGTTTGTCTAATGATTCACATCTTCCTAGGTACATATTATTATTACCAGTATTGTACTTAGGAATGTCATGTATGATAATAACTATAATACATGAAGCATCATTGTGCTCAATGAAAATAGATAGGCATGTAAGAGCAAGCACTCAGACACATGTAAATGGAAAAAAAAAGTATGAGAAATATATAGTGAGTGGCTTAATATCAGTGAATTAGAAACTAGGAATGAGAACTGCTAAAGAAGCCTGAAGGAAGATGTTGGTACTGAGTTGATCACCAAGGATATTATGGTAATTGATCGGACTGACAGAGTATTCATTTGTGAGATAAACATAGACTAGTTGATTTGAATGGATGTGTAAATTTATAGCACAAAAGGAGATTTCTTAGTATCAGCATTTTTGGAGCTGTTCTAAAATTATATTTTTACATTAATTTTGTTATTTACATATAGTTCATTAAGACTATTAATAATGCTTCTGTTTTAGGTAATTCTAAGGCTTTTTAGAGCTTAAAAAATTCCAAGATTTCTGTTTAGGTTATGGCACATTTCATCTTATGTAATATTTACAACAACCCTATTAGTTAGGTATTTGTGATCTCATTTTTAGTTGAAGAAACTAAGGTGCCAGGAAATTAAACATCACCTTGTCTAAGATCATAAGGCTGGTAAGTGCCTAAGTTAAGGATTGAACAAGGATTTTAAGTTCAAAGCCTATTTCTTAATTATGTTATCTTGCTCTCTTGTCTTTTCCTTTTCATCAAAAAGCTAAGCCTGGGAATTTTCCGTCTCCATTTTCTATCAACACTTAGTAAAATGGTAAAAAACACACCAGGAATATCAATGACTTTGAGTTTATTAAAGCTGGGAGACAGTGGGATGTGATAGAACGATCACAGCTTTAATCAGTACAGCTGCTCCTGTAGCTGTGTGCTCAGATGTATGCATCGGGAAATGGAAGATGAATGATACTACCACTCATCTTGACAGTATTTGGACTGGTTGTAGAGTTACTTAATTTTAGTAGTGTCTGATAATGGAAGTTTATATGTAAGATACAGTTAAGATCTTGCATTGAATTTCTATTCAGGTAAATGTTAAGAGGAAGTATACTCTTAAGCAAGTGTTTTGTAGTCTTCACTGAACACTAAGGAGCTCAAAGATGGTTTTTGATTTGGGCCATGTACCCTGTTTCAGATTGGTCATTCCTATTCCTTGAAGGACTACTTAGTATCAAGAGCAGAAACACTATGACCTTAATAATTCATCCTGCAGGTGGGATATCTGAGGGTACTTCACAATGTTGGTGGAGAAATGGCATTAAAAATAAGTTTACTGTGGTGCAAAAATGTTTGAAACTCCGGCATGTTTTTACATAATATGTATTTTCAGTGAAAATTTTGAAGACTTCTAATAATGGATTTTTACATGCACTGAAAGAAACTTATTTTTCGTTTCATTTTCCATGAGCTTTTTGAAGTACTCTCATATTTATATTCCTTTATTTGTTCAATTGGAATAATGGACTATCTAACGTGTCAGGCATTTCCTGGGTGTTCTTGAAATGTACCCCTCTTACATTATTTTTTTCCTATAAATGTTTGCAAACTGACTTAATGAAAGGGCTGACTATCCTAATCTGGAACCAAGGTAGTATTAGAAAATTGTTTCCAACTTTGAATGTGATGATTATGGTTTAAGAACTTCTAAGAATATGCCATTTAAAGGACAATGCACAGAACATTTCAACTTACCAATGATACTATTTTTTTATTTAGGCTTCTATATTCATCCGAATATGGTTTTGCAAATTTGCTATCATAGTCAATGTTGTTGACTTTAAAGCTGGTATGATAATAGAAAGGTGTCTTCCCTGAGAAGAAAAAAGAAAAAAATCGTGATCATTTTGTGCTTTGCACAGCCATTTTCACTCTAAGGATATCATGTGAAATGGGATAATCTGATGAAATTTTTTTAACTTTTAAATACTCTGGATGCCCATTGGTTATCAAAATCGTTTTGACAGAGGAATGTTAATAAAATTATAAAGTTACCCAAGAATGTATTCAGAGTTTTTAGTGTAAAATTTTAATGTGCTCTCTCTCAAGTTTGGGCAATATTTAAACAGATATGTTATTATGAAAATAAATTATCTTAAAGTATAGATAATTATCGTAGACCTTGTGATCATCACAGATTATGTTTTAGGAAAATCAGTGAAGTCAGAAGGTTTATCACTTACAAAGTTCCAAGGTAATTAAAATTAATTAAGAAGAAATTAAAGTCAGACATTTTGTAAGTACTTTACATTAAGTATATGGAAAAAAGAAATGAAACGAACAATTTTATGAAAGATAAATAAAGGAAATAGAGTGATGATTGTGTTGGGCTATACTTTGGAATATATCTAGTAGGAAATAAAATTTCTCCTTGTAAAACGTTCACATTCTATTGTATCCCTCCACTCTGCAGTCTAGGAAGTCACAATGAGAGAGGAGATGGTTGGGGAGGAAAGAGAAGGAAGTAGAGAGAGAGAGAGAGAGAGGGAGGGAGAGAGGGAGAGAGAAAGGTGGAATAAAAGCATTTTGTAATATTCTGGAATGTTCATATCCCTGGATATACAGTGGGTATAGTTAATTATTTGGAATAGTCTTCTAGGTCCACTAACAAATAATCAAAGAAATGCAAAGTATTTAAGGTAAGATAGTATTTTTCTTGGGTTAAATTAACCAAGATGACCAACCTCCTTCTCCTAAAAAAGGTGCCAAACAAAAACACAAAACACACATACGGAGACACTCTTATGGTTTGCCAGTGAGAATGCTAATTAGAATACATTTTTTGGAAGACAATTTGGTCATATAATCAAAAGCCAGAAATGTATGCTCATTTTATTTTCTGTCAGTGATTTCTCTTTTTATAATTTATTCTCAGTTTAATGAGTTCCTCACAAATCTATGTATAAAAATGAACAGGGATAGGCATTTGGTACAGCAGTTAAGACAGAGTTTGGGATGCCCAAATCTCATATTTGAGAATTGGAGTTCAAGTCCAAGTTCTATTTCTGAGTCCAGATTTCTGCTGATGTACACCCTTGGAGGCAGCAGTGATGGCTCAGATACCTGTCATTCATGTGGGAAACCTGGATTGAGTTCTCAGCTCTCAGTTTCTGCTGGTCCCAACCCTACTTATTGTAGGCATTTGGGGAAAAAATCAGTGACCAGAAGCCCTGTCTGTATGTCTGTCTCTGTCTTTTTCTTTCTACTTTTCAAATAAATAAAAATTATAATAAGAAATGAACTCTTTCAAATAACATCAAAAAATTAAAAACAACCTAAGAAATTAAAGTCGAAAACTTATAAAATACATGGTCATCTACTCATATAATATAATATTATATCATAATTACAGTCATGCTTTATATTAATATTTATGCCATGAAAAAGGCATACAAAAGTGGGGGAGAAGATAGAAAAGAAATGAACCAACATTGTGAGAATGTTCCTGACTAGTTGACTGTTTCTATTTTCTTACTCATGTTTTTCTGTATTTTCTATATATCTTAATGAATATTAAGATTAAATTAATCAAAATGTTTTTGAGGAACATACTCCTTATCTGTAATTACTCATTTAGCTACTGATTTTCTGTTTATTTCTCCCCTATTTTACTTTTTTTTCCTATTCTTCTAATATGTGTTTTTATATATCTCCATGTATTATTTCTTTGTCACAAGTTAAACAATTCCAAAGGACTATAATATTTTTGTTGCTAGATATTTCTTTGCATCAATACTGTATGTCTTCTTATTTTTCTATTAGGAATGTCATGTTATGCCAGGTTTTGAATCCAGGGGCATTGAGGCAGTGTTAGGTTATGTTAATCTGTTGGACTACTGCATGAATTGCAAACATTATAGAGTAAAACCATCCTCTAATTCTGCTATCTTATTAGAATGCTGCACATGATGGAGCAGTTCTCAGCCACAAAAAAGAATGAAATCCCATCTTTTACAACAAAATGAATGCAACTGGGGACTATTGTGCTTAGTGAAATAAGCCAGAACCCCCCCAAACAAATATCCTATGTTTTTTTGTGATTTGTGATAGTTAATATATTTAGAGTATAAAAAATTGAGCAAAATTGAAAAAAAGAAAAGGTTAAAACCAAATAGAAACTAAGTAAATGCCCCACATTTTGAATGAACAGCTCGCTCAGCCAGGAGTCACATGACAGCTGCAGACTGGCAAATGTTAAAAAAGAAATGGGGAAGGGCTGGTATTTGCCTACTCTTTTTGTTTATTGCAACATTTGATTTTTCACCAAAAAATAAAGGTTATGATTTATAATTTTAAGGTATTTGGAAATAGCTTCAAAGAGTTGCTCATGAGTATATTTGCATTTCAGACAGATTTCTGCAAATTCTGTGGGGAGATGAATTTATGGGGCATATGAATAATCAGAGTGAGTTGAAAAAAAAGCAAGATTGCAAAATGAAGATAATGCAAATCTGAAGTGAATAAATGTTTCCAGAAATATTTAGGATATACATTATCAGTGCCTAGTATAGAATAAATTTTATTAAAGAATAAATATATAAATATGAGTTCCTGGAAAATTAAACTTTGCTCTATATGATAAAATGTATGCAGTGAAAGGACTGAAATGAATTGCATAAGTTGTTTAAATTTCTTGTGTTTAACCTTGTAGAGCTTTTTCTATTTTTTCATTTTTCTGTTCTGAGGGTCCTCATTTGGCTGTCTGAAATAGAAAGTACTGCTTCTTGGATTTACGAAGCTCATCAGGAAATAAGAGCAAAACAAATCCTTTGGTTAGTTCAATAACTTGGATTTATGTCTTATAGTCACTACTCTAAAAGGCAGTTGATAACTTTTATAAAGTATAATGTTATTCTACAGATATAAAAAAAGGAAACCTATAAAGTTGAATAATATGACCTGATTATTACTTTGGACCTGATAACATGACAAATTAAGGGCATTGTATTTACTGGTACATAAGGTAGAACACAGATGCTACTAATCAACAGAGACTGAGTTTCCAAGTGGAATTAAAATAGATTTTTATATATTACTTTAAATGATTCCTCACTCCTTAAAACCAGTATTTCTTGTGAAGTGTTATTAATTAAAACAATGCAATAGATTATGTAGATGTATCTCCTTAATACTGTACAGCAAATTCTCAGTGATCCATTAATACTAGGAAAGTCAACTATAATAAATATTATGTTAATATTTGGTTTTGTATGGTATTTTAAAATATATCATTGAATATAGTTCTAAATAATAGTTGTGAAATTAGAGCTGCAAATATAAAGGAAAGAAACCACATTGTGTTTCAGTAGATAATTGTAGCAGGAAATTGTTATACCTTCACTGAGTTTTTCCACGAAGTCCAAGTTCTAAACATGATCTTGGGACACATTTTCAAGAAAGGTTAATACTATTCTAAGCAAAATTATCATTTTCCTTAGTTAAAAAAGTGCTGCAAAGCAGGTTAGAAGTTAGAGTGGTAAATTGAGTACCCCTCTGATTTTCTGTAGCATTTGCAAATTGTCATAATAGAGGATTAAGCTCCTCTCCTTCAAATATAACCCTAAACCTTCAGTGGAACCAAATTAAGTTAATAATGTAGAGTCTCTTTTGTTATTTCATTCTTTTTCCATTTCTAAAAGACTAATATTTTGCAAATAATCCGGGTTATATTATAGGCTAAGGTTAAGAGCACTAGGAAGATTTATAACTTAATTCTTTGTATTCATAAAAACTTACTTTAAAATAATCTAAAAATGTTGTTCAAAGAAATGAATTTATGTTGTCTTTTAAAAAAGACCCCAATTCTCCCATGAGGAATGTAATTTTCATTCTTATTTTTCATACATTATTTTCTTTTCTTTGCTCTCATACATATATATGTGATCTTAGAATTAACTGATAACAGCAGTATCCCTGTGCACTTGTCTCAGACATCCAGATCTTTCTTATGGATGGTATGTACTCAAAACTGGCTTCTGGTGGCAGCCAATCACTATATTTGTTTTAGAAAAAGATCACCTTGAACATCCTTGGGATGATCCTTAGCTTTTATTACCTAGATTTAAGACTAACTGAGGACTGGGCATTTGATGCAGCAGTTGAATCACCAATTGGGAGGCCTACATTCTATATTGAAGTGCCAGATTTGAGTCCCAGATCCTCTGCTTCTGATCCAGCCTCCTGTAAATACACACTTTGTAAGGCAACAGGTGATGGCTCAAGTACCTGGGTCCCTGAGACCTGGAGTGAGTTCCTGATTCCTGTGTTCTGCCTGACCCAGTCCTGGCTGTTGCTAGCACTTAGACAGTGAACCAGCAAATAGGAGATCTCCATCTGTACATCTGTCTGTCTTTCAAATAGAATGAAAATAAATTATATATTTTTAAAAGACTTGCTGAGATTAGTTCTCCAGGCAGGTTCTCCCAAATGTTCTCTGAAGAGTAAAAGAGATGTAAAAGAGATGACTTCCAGAGTCTATTAGAGTTAACATCAAACTTAGCATCTGTAGAGATATCTAGAAGGAGTAACTCACACATTTATTGTTTTAGCCTTTGGTTAAGAAATAGGAAGACAACGAAAATAAGTGAATCTGAGAAGGTATAATTTTTGCCCACATTATGAGATTTTCCCTTTCATTTCCTATCTTTTGAAAGCAAAATTGTTATTTGAAGCACTAAGAGTTTCCATTTGTAATTAGCATAGAAATATTTGGAAACATCGTCCCCCCCAGAAAGTGAGAAAGTATCAGTAAGAAAGATTAACTTTTTCTATGTAGATCCAAAGACTTTCCTGGCATTCTCATTGTCAATTTTTTTTTTTTTTTACCAATTCCTCACAACCTAACATACTTCAATCTGATTTTCACATCCTGTGTCAGAAACTATGGGTTATTTCTAGATTATTCTCTTGTGATGGTAGAATTTGTTATTCTTAACTGCGAAGATGCTATCCCAATAGGAAAACTACATTTTCCAGACTCTGTTCCATGTAGGAGCAACCTAATGCATCTAAGTTAAGAAAAATGCAATGAAAGGAAGAGATGTTTTCTTATTGAGAGAAGACATGCTTCTTTCTTTCTTGTTCTGTCTTCCATCTGGCTAGAATGTGGGTATGATGAGCCATAATGACATAACTGCCTTGGACATTGAGATGACCTTGGCAGTGTGGATTGTGCATAGTAAAGTAACAAGATAAAGGAGCCTGCCACCTGATTTTGAGTGGCCCATGAACAGAATGATTTATACATTTTGAAGGATTGAAAAAGTCAAAAGAAGAATAATATCTAGTGAAATAAAATCATATGATCTAGATGGTGTGACTTTTTAGTGTAAGGACTAATACAACATATGAGAAACTGTCCTCTGTTACTACTATATCCCATTGTAGCACCTTAGTACCTTAGTAGTTGCCCATTGAATGCTTGTTAAGTTGAATTTATGTACAGTTTCAGATACGTTTAATCTTTCCCACATTCTATTATTTATTTACAGCGTGCTTATTATCTCCCTTAAGAAGCTAAGCAAATAGAAAACACATCATTTTCATGGAGGGTCATGTGAATCAGAGAAAGGCAAATATTTATCGCTTGAGTGAACACTTCTTATTAATAATTTCATGAGCATAAACTGAGTGTGACTCTTGATTTGGCAGTGGTAACAGTGGGCATTGCAATCTACCCAGGGGTCATGTTTGCACAATCAGTCCATGTCCAGGGAAGATTGCATCTTCACTCTACTGTGCACAACCCTTTCATTTCCCTCTGTATCATTTTGTTTCTATTTATAAGCTGAAATGAATGTTTACTTAGCTAGACAGATTCTTTTCTAAATGAGATCAGAAAAACTTTTAAAGTTTACTTATTTGAAAGGTAGAGTGATGAAGAGAGAGAGAGAATCTGAGAGAGGGAGAGAGGGCACTTTCATTTTCTGGCCAGGGCTGGTCAGGCCAAAATCAGGTACCAGGAATTCCATGTGGGTTTCCCATGTGGGTTATAAGAACCAAAGTACCATTTCCCTGGCCTCCCAGGATCATTAGCAGGAAGTTGTGTTTGAAGAGGAGTAGCTGGATCTCTATTTCAGTATGTGGGTGTCCCAAGTGCTGGCTCAACATGCTGCACCACAACACCTGGCCTTTCACGTACTTTTTGAAGTATCCTATATACACCAACATTGTTCTTATAGATTTAATAAGCAGTCACTCTTGTATGTGTATGTATTGCTGAATTTCAAACACAGTCATTTGTAATTAATTAAATATAAATTAATTTTAAAACATCACTAAATTTACATTACTTGTTTCTCCTTATATATCTTCTTACTTTCCAAACTACCTATTCTCTTGTCAGAATGCAAGAAAAAATTCTTCTAAAAATGTCCTTATCCTTGAAAAGGTTAGGAAAGAGTGGGTTAAAGAAAATAATAAGAGGACTCAGAAACGTTGGTAAAAAATGCTACTTTTAAGAAAACTTAAATACAATGATTCCATAACTTTTTTTCTGTTCATGGAAAATATACAGAAAAATCTGTATAGTCAGATTTTTTCCTTTTACCCCTCAATACAAGGGAATATTTTACTTTCCAAGGAGAATTTTTTTTTTTTTTGACAGGCAGAGTGGACAGTGAGAGAGAGAGACAGAGAGAAAGGTCTTCCTTTGCTGTTGGTTCATCCTCCAATGGCCGCCGCGGCCGGCGCACTGTGGCTGGGGCACCGCGCTGATCCTATGGCAGGAGCCAGGTGCTTCTCCTGGTCTCCCATGGGGTGCAGGGCCCAAGGACTTGGGCCATCCTCCACTGCACTCCCGGGCCACAGCAGAGAGCTGGCCTGGAAGAGGGGCAACCTGGACAGAATCCGGCGCCCCGACCAGGACTAGAACCCGGTGTGCCGGCGCCGCAAGGCGGAGGATTAGCCTAGTGAGCCATGGCGCCGGCCTCCAAGGGGAATTTTTATGAGAAGAAAATATTGTATAGATGAAAATACCAGACATTGGAATAAGAAATATTAGATTAGAATAACAGATTGTAGGCTTTCCTATTTGTTATTCACTGATTATCAATCCAGGGGGCTTTAAGTTAAGCAAAAATAGAAACTGTGACTACCTTATTTATCAGTGTATTCCCAGCACTTTTTATCCCAAGAAGATAAAAAGGACGTATCCCAAGTCTCTAATTTTAGTTTTCCCTAAGCTAAAAGTCACTAAAGGACAAAGTCTGCAGACAAGAACACTTTTGGAGGTAATGGATATGTTTAGTACCTTATTTGTGGTGATTTATAGGTGTTTATATTTATTAAAATTCATCAAACTGTGCACATTAAGTATGTACTTTTTGTATATTAATTATACCAGCAAATCTTTAAAAACTAGTAAAATCTGCAGTAAATACTAGTAACTGTTCTGATTTTCCTCTTCCAAACAATTTCATCTGTGTTTTTTCCTTCCTTCTCTATCAAAATTCCTAATTTTCTAAATATAGAATCAATAAATCCATGTGACCTGAAAGGCAGACTTAATCAACACTTACCATATGCAACAAAATAGACAACAAGTCCAATGACTACTGCAACAATCACCATCATTAAGATACCCACGGTAATCTTGCCACACCTTGTGAGTTTCATTTTTGTTTTTGACTCCATTCTTCTGAGCAAAAAGGATATGAAAGCAAGTATTAATATGAGCTTGATATAGGACACTCAGAAATAAATATGAATTTGATGTTAGTGTAAAAGTATATTATTGTACATTGATTTTGGATTCAATGGACTGCTGAACTTGGAAAACAGCTTAGAATTAATGAATATAGTATTTGAATGCTTATTTCTCATTACCTATGAATAATAATTATAATAGAAAATTCAATATTTATTTATCCAAGAAATATTTGTAGATGTCCTACTATGTTCTAGGCACTGTTGTGGGAGCAAAGATTTCTTTCCTTATGGAGTTTGTAGTCTACAAAATGGAGATAGCAAACAAAAAATAATAAATAAAATATATGACTCATAAAAAGGTATTATGTGCTGTAGAAAATAAAATAGAGCTAAGCAAAGCAAATCAGAAATGTGTATCTATGTGAGAGAGAGAAAGAGAGGGAAAGAGAAAGAGAAAAAGACAGTGACAAGATGCAATATCAGAGCCAGTGTTGTGGTACAGTGGATTAAGCTATCACTTGTAAGGCTGGTTTGAGTACCAGCTGCTCTGCTTCTAATCCAGGATCCTGTTAATATGCCTGGGAAATCAGCCAGAAGATGGCTCAAGTACCTAGGCCCCTGCCTCCCATGTGGGAGACCAGGATAGAGTTCCTTGCTCTTGGTTTTATTCTGGCCCAGACCTATCTGCTGTGGCCATGTGAGGAGTGAACCAGCAAGATGTGTCTCTCACTCTCTATTTCCCTCTGCATACTCTGTCTTTCAAATAAATAAGTAAACATAAAAACAAATATGTGATATTAAATAGAGTGACAGAAAAAAATAGAGGAGTAGAGTGGGTAAAATCTGAGCAGAGTTGAAACATGTAATAGGGTTTTCCATACATATATATGGGATATCCCAGGCAGAGGGAATTACTCAGGTAATGGAGTACTAGGAATGTTAGGTAGTATGGTTAAAGCAGTGAAGGAGAGAAAAAGTAGTTAATAAAGTAAGTCTGAGAGGTACCATGGTCCAGAACTTGTAGGGCCTTCTGGGGTCATGATGATAATTTTGGCTTTTCTGAGTGATATAGGAGCAATGGAGGGTTTGAGCAAAGGACTGTGATGATAATCTAATATCATATGAGATCCTTCTTGGTACTTTGTAGAATAAACTGTAGAGGCAAAAGTGGAAGCAGAGTGATTAGATAGGAAATGATTACAATAAACCAAACAGGAAGATGATGTTGACTTGGACCAAAGCAGTAAAGGAAGAGGAAAGGAAAAGGAAAAGGAAAAGGAAAAGGAAAAGGAAATGGCTATATTTTGAATATAGTGTTGTTAGTTTCCTGAAGGATCTGTGTGGAATGCAGGTGGAAAAGATTATTGAAAAAATAGTTTCTAGCCCTTTAGTTTGACAATTCGAAAGATGGAATTATCATTAGCTGAGATGCAAAGGCTAGTGATAGAGTAGGTTAGAGGGACCCGTATAAATTCAGTTTTATTTATTTTGTGTTTGGTATGTTCACTAGGAATGCAAGTGGAGATGCAGTTTGGGTATTGAAGTTTGGAGTCTAGGATGGAAGTCTCGGCTGGCAATATAAATTTGGTATTCATGAATATGCAGATGGGGCTCTGGGACTACTTGAGAAAGTAGCAAAGGGATATGTGTATTGAGAGGACCAACATGTGATCACTGGGGAACTCCCTCATTAAGAGATTAAGGGGATGAGAAAAATATAGTAAAAAGTACTGAGAGGAAAGGAGCAGTGAGGTTGGATGGAGCTCAGATAATGTGACATCCTGGAAGCCAAGAGAAATGAATAAAGAACAAGGAAGGGGATCGATTAACTTTGCCAGATACTGCTGATAGCTCAAATATAATAGGTAAATGAGGACTGAGAATTGACTCTTGGATTAGCATTATAGAGATAATTAGTGAGCTTGGTGAATAAACTTTAGGAGTAGAAAGGCAAAGAATTCCTTGGAGATGATTTAAAAGAAAATATAATTACAAGAAGTGGAGACTGTCATTACTCTTACAAAGAGTTTGTTGAAAAGAGCGGTGGCTGGGATGGGGGGGGAGGGGGGACCATTTTTCTGAAGTATTTTAAAGTAGTTATAGTAAAGAAACTGAATTATGAAATTCATCCCTAAATACTTACATTTCATCTTTGCATGAGCATTTTTAGGATCATTATTATACCTAATGGACTTAGTAGTAATTTTATACTCTTCTGTAACACCAAGGTCACATTAATATATCTCTACATGGCCTCAAGACATCTTTTATATTTTTTGTTTGAACATGATAAAAAAAAACCCTCTACATTACATTTGATTTTCTTATTTCTTAGTCTATAACAGCTTCCTCATTCCACCATTTTTTTTTTATGATGTTGACTTGTTGAACATACTTAGTTGTCCTACAGAATGTCCTACCTAAAAGAAAAAGCTTGTTTGGGTATTTTTGTTTCTTTTTTTTTTAAAGTTAAAGCATTAATTAAACATTTCATTTGGAAACATTGATAAATTCAGATGCAGCTGTAATGTAGAGGCAGATGCATCTCAACAGAGAGATGTCTTGTGTTCTTGACACAGTTTGCCCAATGGTAACAGTTTTCAAAGCTATAGTATAATATCACCACTGAGATATTTACACAGGTGAAACCAAAATACTGACCATTTCCGTCACCACAAGAGCCCCTTACATTGCCTTTTTATAGCCTGTTTCCTGCTCCCTTGCCTATGTTACCCCTGACAACCACTAATGTGTTATCCCTTTCTATAATTTTTTCATTTCAAGGATGCTATGTAAACAGAATCAGACAATCTGCAACCTTTTGGAATTTGTTCTTCTCCCAGCTCTAGAGGTTAATTTATCACCAGAGTTTTGTGGGGTTGAGGCATTAAATGTTATTTACAGCTTGGTACCAGTAGTTGGACAGAGAGAAATTAATAATATTAAAACTTTTAGATTAAATTGTTACATTATTTGTGGATTGAGAGGCAACTTTATTCCAGTGTATTTATGCTTCAAGATTGGAAAATAATGTTTTAGTTCATTATATAGAGATGGTGAGGGGCTGTTTCTTTAGAAGTTAGGTAATTGAGCAATGCGAAAGGCATTTTGTTAGGCAAAGGGAGTACAGTGATGAACAATATTAGTAAGAAATGTAAAATGCAAGAATTGTAAAAAATTAACTTTGTTTTATATGCTGTATTATATTTGTTATCTTGCCAGTGTTGTCATAACAAAGCACCATAGACTGACTTCTACAACAGAAATTTATTCTCTTAAAGTTCAGAAGGTTAGAGGCCTCTGTCCTTTTCTTGGAGATAGCCATCTTCTCCCTGTGTCTTTACATGGTCTTCTCTCTGTACATATCTGTGTCCTAATTTCATTTTATGAGGACAATGGCCATATTGGATTAGGGTTTAACCTGATAATCTCATTTTAATTGAATCTGCTTACCCATCTCTAAATACAACCACATTCTGAGGTACTGGGGGTTAGAACTTCAACATGTGAATTTTGGGGGAGCACAATACAGCTAATAATATGCTTATTTGTAGGTTTTATTTATAATAATATACTATAAATATATTTTTATATTTTAGGTACTATATATTCATATATTGACTCCAAATACACTTATATTTATGTATATGTATATATGTGCATCTAAGATATTTATGATGTATACAAAGAAAAATTAACATACCTTGAAATGACTGTACTAAGTATCAGTTAGTTTGAAGTACTGATATTAAAACCTATATTAGTTTGATTTTCATTTGCAAAAAAATGAAAAAAAATTTTTTGGTTTGCAGTTATTCCCTGAACAGATGAAATTATCTGAACAAATACTATTAACTAGATCTCTAATGCAAGTGTAATTTCCAAGTCTTTATCATTTTAGAAACTTCGTTGTATTTTGCAAAAATGCTCTGACCACTGGAAAAATTTTGTTCAAATTATGTTGGCACATTGAGAAACCTGGATTGACTTCTAGGCTATTGGCTTCAGCCTGGCCTATCCTTGCCTGTTACAGACATTTGGGGAGTGAACCAGAAGATGTAACATCTCTGTCTCTGTGATCCTGCCTTTCCAATAAAAAAGAAAAGTAAAAATAAATAAAATCAAAAATTAGTATGTCAAGATTTCTGTGGATATTTCCATATTTGTGAACATCTTTTGGTCTTAATAAAAAAACCTAAAAGAAGTCTCACTATATAGTGTTAGAGGAAAGGTTTTTCAATCTGATCAATCACTTATTTAGTCTAGAATAGTGCTTGAAATTTTTGTAAAAAGAATTAACTAAATGATATGCTAAACCTTGGAAAGTTAATTTCCTAGAGCTGAATACCTGTTGTAAGACATTCTTCTTCATACTGATAGATGCGTGCATATGTTGACGTATTTTACTCAACATGGTTGCCATGGGACAAGCCCCCATGGAAATGTGATAAATGAGTAGGAAGTTTGATGTGGCAAATATTTGGTATATATTTTCCTATTCTTCTCAATCATGTATTTCTTGAGCCATCTAAAAATTGCTTCTTTTGTAGATAAAAAAATGGAACATTGACAATGTTACAATAATCCAATCTGTGGGCACACAAAAATCATTCATTTGTTGTTTCTCCTTCTGAATTGTCTACAAGGGATATAAAAGCATTTCTTGTATACAAGAATTTGAGTAACAGGGAACCTTATTTGACATCAAATCTCCCTCCAACATAAATTTCCTAGAGTGAGAGACCCATAGCCATTTGCAGCTGAAGTGAATTTTGCAAATCTTCCATTCTGGTTTCCTAATTTTAAAGAGGGAAAAACTGTAGGAGAATATTTTCTCTTCAGGACATTTCAAATCTAAAGAAGATTAGAACTATAGGTAGAGATTTTTCTCTGGTTGTGATAAGTAAATGCGCATTTGGCATTATGGCTAAAGATCAGAACTTTTAGTTTTTAATCTGTATAAGGAAAATTATTCATATTAGGTAGCTTCTTAACTCAGAATTCTCACTTATTCTATAGTCCAAATCTAAGATCACTAAATGACCTGTCTAGCTTGATTCACAAATATGAAGTTATAATTAATGAATAAAAATTAGTTCTAAAGGCCAATGATCTATTTCTGGTCTCTCCTGCATTTTCTAAGACTCAGATGTTTTTCACAAACTGCTTTACTAGTTTGGAAGTAATGACCCAATGTGTGGTGGGGTGGTGGTGGTAGTAGTGGTGTGTGTGTGTTCTAAAATTCAAAAGGAAAATTCAACTTTGTCAACATTCAGATTCTTTATTTTAAAGCATTCCCGAAAAGCAATGTCAGACACATGAAATCTATTTTTCCAAAATGTTAGTATTTGGTGATAAGATAAACTACTTAACATTCAACAGAAACTGGATCAAGGATGGATATTGAAGTGCATAACAGAAAAACCTGCATTGTTTTTGGCAGCATGTCTTAATTTGTCATATGACATTTATTTATTCACCAGGTATATTCTGAAGGAATTCAGGTATAATATAGATAAGGTTGTAATGACATAAGTAATTACTTAGGGATTTCAGAAACAGTGGCTTACTGGTGAATGTGCTTAAAAATAATTCCTTGAAAGGATTAAAGCTGCTTGTCTGCACATTGTTCCTAATGTAGTTTTTTGGAACATGAGGAGCTGAGCAACTTGATGTGGAATACATAGAATATATTACTTAGAAGGTGTGATGAAACAGTTTAGCTATATTTTTATTGATTAAATAAAAAATTAACAGTGACTTTATTTTATGGAAAAGATTTCCATCTTTCTGTTACAGCTAATTACACTAAATATTAATATGAATGTGTAAAATGATGTTTTTTATGCTATTTATTTGGAAACTTTACTGTTCCCAATGGTCTGCTGGTCATTTAGAATGTAAATGATGGGAAAATATATAAACAAAAATTATCTGCAAATTTTATTAAAGTTTGAGTTAGTCTTAATGCATGCATTTTGTTGGAATGTCAGGAACGACTACATTGTGGATGTGAACATTTATCTTTGTATTAATTTGATTAGCTTATGAATCAAAATGTAAGAAATATTTGTTCATTGCTGTGTGCCGTGGAACCAGTCAGCACATTTCTTTCACTTTCAATCTGATTGCTTTCTAAGCATGTGGCATTGCTAATGGGAAGGAACACAATCCCCTCTGGTTGCTGTTTTTGTTTTTAAGTCAAATGTTCTATCATACCACTAAGAATGTATACCAGTGAGGCATTGCTGTGTTCCAGTTTTAAAAACTAATACCCAAGCTTTGTTCTACCACTTCCCACAGTTAAAATAGCATAAAGTGAGCATAAATATCAGTGTCTCTGTGTCAACATACATCACTAGAAATAGGTGAGTGCAAATATCTTATCCTTTCAATTTTCATAGTGAAACTATCTTTAAAAATAAAATCCTCTGGACATCTTCAGATTCCATCAGTTATTTGCATCCTTCTCTGGTGTGAACTAAGGTGATTGCAAGATTTTTCACAAAAATTAATAATCAAAACAGAACCTAACAATGAAAATTTATCCATATTAATCATTTTTGTTTTTACTTTCATTCCTATTTTTATGAAAAATTGAGGAAGCGCATCATTTTTAAGAACCTTAAAACCCAAATTAAATTACTTTAGTGAATTAGGTCCCTTTAGAACATTCACCCGAGGAGTAAGGGCAAGCCTTTTTCCTCCCACTCCCTCAGACCCACCTGCTCTGCAGAGATGTCCATGGCTCCTCTCTCTGTGGAGGTTGTTCATGTGTCATCTTCCTTCCAAATGCTAGGCAGCACAGTCATTCTCCACCTATTTAGCTTACAAGATTCTGTGACTTTTATGTGTTTTATGATAATGGTATAATGATAATACTTAGGACTTACACAACTTTTCATCTTCAAAGTGCTTTCCAAACATTTACTAATTAATTTTAAAACATAAGTAAAATATGAGTTGCATAAATGTTGCTCCATAAAAAAAAAAAAAACTCAGCTTTTGTGACTGATGAAGTAGTGGGGCCACCTATTTGAGAAGGACGATAAGCCTTTCCTTGGTTTTGCATTTCTGTTTATTGAAGACTAGCAAGTGACTGCTCTTCTTGCTCACTAGAATCCACTCCCAAAGATTATGCCAATTTCTTTTTTGCTCTTCAATGAACAGCCAGTGGCTCTCTAAGACCTAACCCTCCATTAGGCTCTAAATGCTTTCCAACTTATAACTCTTTTGCTTTCTTCTTCTGTATATCATGCTTTTAGAAATTCTTCCCTAAAATTTTTACTGCAGCCCTAATATTAGTGCTTATTAAAAATGTTTGATTCTCTGAAATTCACAGGTGTTAATTTTTAATAAAAAATATGAGTTTAACCAGTAATTTTCCAAAGTTTTGGACAGCATTCTGGTTTTTGATTAGTGTGCGGACAAGATAGCACACACCTGAATGTTTAGCCATCTGGAAGAAAAAGAATTTGCCAGAGGCCAGCTTCTATGGTAAAGGATAACCCAGTTATTAGGCTGTGAGAGAAGGCTTCTTTGGGTAACAGTCTTTGTTTCGAATCTCAAACTCATAGTAGTATCAAGAAGAATTACTGTCTTGCCTATGCTACCTCCCTTTTTCCAAAAACTTGTATAAGGAAAGATAATCAGAAAAATCATATTTATATTATGACAAAAAGGACCATAATGACAGCTCTTATATCATTTATTAATGGGACTCTGACCAGATATATCTACATCCCTTTAAGACCTTAATGTTAGTTATATTTTTCTGAGCACATCAGTCACAATATTTTGTACACATGTTCAGAATATCTAGAGTATTCTTCTGACCCTCATTTGTCTATGTAAATCCTACTCATCCTTCTAGATTATCCTAATCCTTCTTTCTCTAAGTGGGCTTTTCAAAATATATGACTTTCTCACCTGAATCTCAGAAACCCTAATAAACTCACACAATCTTGCAACAAAATATACACAGGACTTAGGGCATATATTAGACCAGGGACCAGATGAGAAACTTCCTGAATTAATGTCTTAGAATATCAAATTATTCTTACCTTTGAATATCAAAGATCCTGATTCAGGCTCCCTTTTTTCCCTTCATTGATTAGAAAATATGTGCTGTACATCTGTGGCATCAGCATTATTGTTAATACAATTGGAAATAACATTTTAAGATACTTACAATCTCATTATGAAGGCAATCAAATAAGCTGGAAAGTAAAACATATGAAAACACCAGATGGAGCATCCACGGGGCACTATCTGAACACACAAATGAAACCTAATCTTGCTGCTGTGGGAGAGGCCATGGAAAAGTACTCGGAGCATATTTTATCTAATCAATGATCTGAAGGATGAATGGGAATATAATACTTAGAAAGGTAAAGGTAATGAATCAACCTAGTAAAAAGCAAGAAGGAGCATTCCAATTTGAGGTGACTGAAAAGTACACTAAGATAATTTGACTACAGTGTAGAAGTGTGGGAGTGTGTGTGTGTGTGTGTGTGTGTGTATGTGTGATTTGTGTATGACAGAGGTGGAAGATGTTGATGGGAGATGAGGTGAGAGAAATCAGAAGCATCCAGATACTGTAAGGATTAATAAGCTATTTCAGGAGTTTGGATTTGATTTCAAAGCAATGAATTGACAGTGAAGGGTTTGAATGTGATAGATTGACATTTTGTTAAAATAACTTTGATCTGTTATGTTGAGAGGAGTCTAGAATATGGAAAAACTAGAGTGGGCAAGAGACAGCTAGAATGTCATTTCAGATATTTAAGTGTAAGTGTTTTGAACTGTGGCAGTGAGCTGGAGAAAGATCAACTTGATAGGACTTAATGATTGGTTGGATGTGGGAGGAGTGGAGGAATCAAGAACAACACTGATGAATGATCTCATGGAAGGGCAGTTGTGATGAAGGCCTCTGTGATGTCCTGGTGTATAATAAGGTGCAAACAGTGAGCTGCATGGTAATTCCATGGTCGTGTCCTGGTGTGTGAAATCTGTGGATCAAGTACTGGATATGGAATCTCATGGACTTACTTAGTACAACTTTTATTTTGGCTCTGCTGGAGTCAATTAATAAAAAATTTAAAGGAAATGAAACATTTTTGTATGAGTAGCTAATATAATAGGATCCAATCAAGATCAAAGTAAAACTAATAAGTTAGATTATTAGATTCTGGGAAAATAATGAATGATAGGATACTGCATTTTATGTATCTCATTAATATGCTAAGTAGATGTTTTTGTGTTAAAGTTAAAGCACAATGTGAGTACAGAATAAAAAACTTACTGTTTTTCAGAAGTACAGTTAATTAATGATCCAACGGTGTGAGGCTGCTGCTTTAGCAGTTCATAAAATGCCTTCCTTCAATGATAGAGGTATGTTCTAAGTCTCAGGAAGTAGTAATATTTCTATTATTTTCCATGGTGATTGGACCACATATATAGTACCGTAGGCATTCTGATATGCCTATGTTTTCAGGGAAACAATAAAACAGGACAAAACCAGAGGAGAAAATCTGAAATCACGGTGTAGCTGGAAATCATAAATTGAGCACTTGAAGGAACTGGAAATGTTCTCTTACAGGACAGAGATTAAAGGGAGACATAATAGCGGAGATAAAATACGAAGGAACTTTAAGAAATTTGTGGAAAAATGGAATTAAAATATGTTTATTCTGGTGCAAAAAATTTTGTAATTCAAGTATAATTTTTTTCAAATTTTGTTTATTTTCATTTATTTTAAAACGCAGAGAGAGAGAAAGAGGCACAGAAAGAGAAAGTTCTTCAGTCCACTAGTTCAACCCCTCTAAATGCCCACAACGGCCATCATTTCAGATCTCCTTCATGGGTGGGTAGCAGGGACCCAAGTACTGAGTCATTATCTGTTGCTTCCCAAGGAGTACACCAAATCAGAAGCAAAGCCAAGATTTGAATCCAGGCACTTTGACATGGAATGAAGGTGTCCCATCTGGTAGCTTAACCACTGAACCACAGATGCACCCTCAGATTTTTCATGATATGCATTTCCATGAACTTTTTGAAGATCTTTCCTATTTGAAACAGTGGTATGTTGACCTATTTTGTGAGTTTTTCCTTTTCCAGGAAAAAAATGTGTCCAGAATAACATTTTGAAAAGCAATCTGTTGTGCTTTTTCACTTGAGGTAACTCCATTTGATCTTGTGACTCTTCCCCTCAGTTTGTACTGTAGTTACAGACTCCAAGTTTACTCTGTGTATAAGGCTTGTCATAGCTAAAGGGTAAGGAAAATTCCAAATAAGCTCTTTAAGCATGAGACTTAGCATACTTATTTTTAAAAGTTTATATGTTTATGTTTAGTCAACAGATCCTGGCTTTTTTAGTTTGCAAAAGTTGTTTTCCTACACAGAGGGATTTAGCAGTAGCAAAAATGTTCTAGTTCCTTTTTTCTTGGATTAGCTTCCAATGTTTTCATTTTATCTTACTATTTTTAAATTTCATTTTAAAGTTTGAATTAACATGTAATACTTGTACTTTTTGAGGAATACAATGCAACTTTTCAACATATATCATGGTTTCTTCTTATAGTATATGTATTTGTGTGTGTGTGTGTGTGTGTGTGTGTGTTTAAAGATTTGCTTATTTGAAAGACAGAGTGACAGTCAAAACAAGATAATGGAGACAGAGTACGATTGTCCATCCACTGCTTTACTCCTCAAATGTCTGCAACAGCTGGGGCTGAGCCAGGTTGAAACCAGGAGCCAGCAAGTCTCCCATATGGGTGGCAGGGAACCAAGTACCTAGGCCAGTATCCCCTGCTCTCCCAGGCATAGTAGCAAGAAGCTGGTTCTGAATTGGAGTGGCTGGGACTCAAACCAGCACTCTTATATGGAATTCAAGTGTCCCATGTAGTGGCTTAACCTCTTATGCCACATGCTTGCCCCATTTGTGCTCCTTTTAAATTTGTTCTCTCAACTGCAATATCTGTAAGAGTTGTTGAGTATTTATTATTTCACCATACATAAAATACATTCTTCTTCTATTGAGCTAAAACTCAATCCTGTACTATAGAATTGAAAATTACATTGATGAGAGCAAAATTCCGTGTCCCTCCCCCCCCACCCCTGCCATGACCAGAGAGGGAAGCACTAGAGTGACAGGCTGATAAAATGTTTGTGAGCCCCTCAACTCAACCCATGCTCCTCCCCCAACTCAAGGTTAGTCCTGAGACAAGGTGAATAAAACTCCAATAAACATGGAGACATCTATGTGTGCCCCTTTACATTTGGAGCTGGAGGGTGACAATCATGCAGTCTTTCTTGAGCTCCCATAGGGCTTAGGGCCTTGGGTAGAGAGACCTCCCAGTGTCTTGAAGTAGAGAGATCCAGAGTCTGGGGGAGTTCGATGGTGACTGGGAGCATTGAGGGGATAGCAGCCCATGTGTTCTGTGCCTCTGAGAAGTGTGTATTAAAGAGTGAAAGAGAAAGCAGGCAGAGTGTTTGGAATTTGTGTCAGTAGTAGGTAGTAGCAGAGTGATCTGTTCAGAAAGAGACAAAATGGGAACACAGACTTCAGCGAGGACAGGCATGGAGAGTTGATAGCGCATAGAGACCACATGGAGCAGCATGCATCTCAGGTGATGACTGAAGATCTGCCCTTCAGCATGGCACCTGGCACTGCATCAGCTAGATCACTTGGAATTTATGGAAGTGAGAGAGATATGGCAACTTGACTGAGAAAGCCCAAACTGTAGTAAAAAGTCCTGAACTGATTGAATTTAACAAGAATAGAGCCCATAGTTTGTCAGGCATTTTGGGGCTTTCAAGAGAAACAATTAAGAAAATTACTCTTCTGTTGGCACACTTGCATTTATGGCAAGAAAAATCATACCAGATAGAATAGGAATTTTAAATATGAGATTAGAGACAGCTTTTAAGTTATACAAATACGTTTTAGTTTTGGAGCAATGAGCTGTTTAGATATGTTTAAGAAAAAATATGATATGATACTTTAAGAGTTTTTTAAAAGGTTTATTTCTTTTAAAGAATTGCAGAGAGAGAGAGAGAGAGAGAGAGAGAAAGAGAGAATCTTCTGAGAGAGAGAGAGAGAAAGATAGAATCTTCCGAGAGAGAGAGAGAGAGAGAGAGAGAGAGAGAAAGAGAGAATCTTCCATCCTCTGGTTTACTCTTCAAATGGCCACAGTGGTCAAGGCCGGGCCAGGCTGAAACCAAGAGCCAGGTACTTCATCTGGATCTCCCATGTGGGTGCAAGGATCCACATCCCTGCTAATGGCCTGGGAAAACAGCAGAATGTGGCCCAAGTTCTTGGTCCCCTGCACCCATATGGGAGACTCAGATGAAACTCTTGATTCCTGGATTTGACCTGGACCCATCCCCAGCCATTGTGGCCATTTTAGGAGTTAACCAGTGGATAGAGGACTCTCAAGGACTCTCGAGGCCACCATCTCTCTCTCTCTCTCACTCAGTGGATAGAGGACTCTCGAGGACTCACTCTCTCTCTCTCTCTCAGTGGATAGAGGACTCTCGAGGACTCTCGAGGACACTCTCTCTCTCTCTCTCTCTCTAACTCTTCCTTTCAAATAAGCAAATAAGGCTTAAAAAAAGAAAGAACACACCTGAACACAATAAGGGATATTAATGACAAATCAAAACTAACATCATACTGGGTAGGGAAAAAAGTTGAAAGCATTTCTTCTAATATCCAGAACGGGAAAAGGATGCCTACTCTTCAATGTACTGGAAATATAATTTGTACTAATTAAGCAATAGAAAGAAATAAAGGGAATCCAAATTGGAAATGAGGAAGCCAAATTGGCCCTGATTGCAGATGACATAGTATTATACATAGAAAAACCTAATGATTCCACCAAAAAACTATCAGAACTGACAAATTTGATAAAGTTGCAGAATACGTAATCAACATAAAAAATCAACAGCATTTCTAAAACCAGTAAAAAAAGTTGGTGAAAAATAAATTAATAAGACAATGTTATTTACAATAACACAGAAATAACAAGGAAGAGATTTAACCAAGAAGGTGGAAGATTTCTAACTTTAAACTCCAAAACATTGATGAAAGAAATTGAAGATACAAAAAAAGACCTCCCATGATCATGAATTGGAAATATTTATATTATTAAAATATCCATACTTCCCCAAAAATACTCATCAAAATACCAATGA